GTCGCCTGGCTCTCTCGGATTCGGCTGGCGAGATGGGTGATGATGCGATCGACCTCATTGAGATCGCTCTCGGAGATCCGATATCTCCCTCTCTCTCTCTCTTGGATCTCCAGTCGAACCACCCCGAGATCGTCGTCGAGTTGGGCCGTGCGGGTGGTCTCGGTGAGAAGGTCCAGGCGAACCTGATCTCGCGCTACAACAGCAAGATCACGGAGACGGAGGGCCGAATCACGATCGCTGAGCGCCCGATCTCGATCTTCGTTGGCTTGGGCAAGCTTCTTGAATGTCCGGTCGCGATCGGAAGTGACCTGCGTCAAGTTAGCCCGGGCGAGCGCCAGGTCGGCTAACGCGCGGTCACGTTGGGTCTGTTAAGACGAGCGGAGCGACTTGGGGACGGATCTCTTCCGTGATCCGATGGTGAGCGGGTGAGACTGGAGGAGATCCGTTTATAGCTAGCGAGAGCAGTGGCTGATTCCGACCTCGCGTCGTCAGTCTCGCGTTCTAGGTTGCTGATCTGCGCCTGCAGGTCTCGGATCTTGTCTCCAGCTTGGACGGCTTCCAGGCGTAGAAGATCACGGTCTGTCTCGGCGTTGTGGAGGTCCTCGCGGGCAGATATGGCGTGACGTTCGACGTCGTTGCTCTCGGTGCGTAGTCGAAGAACTTGGGCGTGGAGATCGTCTCGGTCGTCACCCATAGCGTGAGGGAGAGTCGAGATCTCCATCTCAAGACGGGTGATCTCGTCTCGTTGGCCGTGCTGGAACGCCTCCATGTCGCGGATGTTGGATCGCGGCTGGTGGACTTGTAGAACGAGATGATCCCGGTCCCGGACGAGTCGATCCCGCGTAGGGTTGCTCTGGCGCAGTTCGTTCTCCAACGTGACCAACCGTCGATCTCGATCTGAGGTGTGGGAGTGAGAGCGACGCGAGATCGTAGAGTGTCGCGACTGGTAGCTGGCCGTGGACTGGGGAGAGTCAGGAGGAGTCGGGATTGGTGGAGTGCCGGAGTTGCTACCGGTCTGGCTCATGGTGATTGCGGCTGGTGAAGTGAAGAGGAGTGCGCCCGAGTTGGAAGATTGTGGAATGAGACCTGAAGTGAACCCTGACGGTCCAACTTTCATGCTGAGGGCGGATGTGGTAAAGTGCGATCGAAATCTCGCGAGAAGAGCAACCTCGGCTGCCAGATCGCGAGAAAGAGACGGACCAGGCGACAGCAATCCCACTCTGGGCCAAGACATCAAGACGATTTCCAAAAAATCAGGCGTGCGACATGACCAGTGAAAGATGGGGACTACGGATGGCCCAAGATTGACTGGAGATGACCCAAGATCGATCTGACGGAATGATGGGTGGCGATCCACCCTCATTTATCGCATGAGGGCCGGATCAAGGCAATTCGCGGAGCGAAGCCATCGTCAAGACTTGATCCCGCATGGTGGCGGGCTGGCGGACCAAGATCGGGGGAAACCGCCGTGTCTG